CATTGAAAGCCATACAACTCTATAGAATGTAAAAAATTGTGCTAAGGTACATGAAATGCAGTCAAATTGACTAGCATAAACAAATACTATTTTTTCCTCATCACAAGGTAAAAAAAAATTAATGTTCCCCTCTTAATATTTGATTGACATTCGTGTGATAACTGAATATGAAGAAAGATAAACAGAAATCTACAACAGGCAAGTAAAAACCAGTTCACGTTGAGCTTGACCAAAAAAAAAACTGGCAGCTATCATTACGCCTGAAATGCCAGAGCTGTAGAAGTCAATCACTGTTTTTAAAACCTTCCATTATACGTAACAAAGCTTCTGCTTTTTTGGATGTAACATCTCTAAGCCAAATTACTCTGGGTCTCAGCTCATCCCAAATGCCATCGCCCCAGGATGGGAATCCTTGATATAAGGGGAAGGTTTGTCATTGTCTGAGATCATTATTAAGCAAATTATTTAAATAACATTAATGTTTCAACAGAAAAAATAACAGAAGTTATCTTTTCAGTTTTTGGTTAAAAGAAAGAACATGATATATTAAGCTAGAATGAAGCCAATGTCACATTCAGTATAAAGTATTTCACTTGACTATTTTCTTTCCACGGAAGTTAACAAAGAAGTCCAAGAACATGTGCGACCTAAACATAAGTCATTTAACTGTGGATAAAAGCTTTCTGACGAATTAAGAAATGTTTTTTAAAAAAACAAAATATGAAGTTATAAACACATCAACAAATTAAATATTCATGAGTAATTAATATACATAACAGACAATGTCAGCAATTTTTTTTTTTTTTGCATGTGTACATTTATCATTTATTCTAACACTTCTTCTTTACATATATTTTTTTCCCCTCAAAAAATAAAAATATTTATAACATGTTTCCTTTGCCTCCCAACCTTTTAATTAAGAAATGTTTTTTAAAAAAACAAAATATGAAGTTATAAACACATCAAAAAATTAAATATTCATGAGTAATTAATATACATAACAGACAATGTCAGCAATTTTTTTTTTTTTTTGCATGTGTACATTTATCATTTATTCTAACACTTCTTCTTTACATATATTTTTTTCCCCTCAAAAAATCAAAATATTTATAACATGTTTCCTTAGCCTCCCAACATTTTTATATAATAAACTTTTCTGCTGCCTCCCCACTACTGGGCTTGAGGTGCCTCCCCACTACTGGGCTTGAGGTGCCTCCCCACTACTGGGCTTGAGGTGCCTCCCCACTACTTTGCTTGAGGTTGTTTTAAAGTATTGCCATCCTCAGCAAGAGACTATCAGTAAGCTGACGAGTCCATTCCATCAGGTATTGGCCCACAGCTAAGCGACATGCTCGGACAAATTCAATACAGCTACCTAGCTTGGTCCAGAGGCGGGCAACTTATGCATTGCACCACAGGATTTACAAAAGTGAGACTTTTATATTTTACTTTTATAAAGTTATTTTAATGTACGTATTTTAATAAAATTATAAAATTTGTATGGTCCTGTCTGTACAGAAGTTGATAGATTCATCAAATAAAAAAATAAAAAATTCCTAAAATATCTTTTTTTAACAGTCCACAAATAAAATAAAATGAAATGCTATTTGGCAAGTCCTTAGATCACAGCTTATAGCTCAGCGTAAAATTTATAATCAAATAAATAACTATACAAATGATTCAGAAGTGTCATCCCACTGAGCCGATAGTCACTAAAACATTTAACACATAATTATAAATATTAAGTTCTGGGTTTGGGAAATCTTGGTTTTTAAAATGATATACCAGTATTTAGTTTTTGCTTTCTTATCTGTTTACGCAAGTATGTAAAGAATGTGTACTATTTGTAACCGGTCCAAATAAATCATGCGATCCATATTTAGGATGAATGAAGGTGATTTGTTATATAAGAATGAAATCCAATGTTATCAAATATCTCAAGCACTAAATCACTTGGACATCTTATTAAAAAAACATATCTTGTTCAATGGATTTGAGATATAGGAAAGAAGTGGTTCTGATTAAAGTTTTTGGATAAGTGTGCGATTTTGTTATGTATACTGTTATGAAAACTGCATATGTGTACCTGAATAAAGATTGCATACATCATATTAGCTTTACAACCTGGAATAGTGGAGTTTTAAAAGTGAGAGCAAAAAGGAACACAGAATAAATTTGATTGAAGTCTGGGCGGGTTTAGGCTTCGTTCCTTATTCATCTTGAGACGGCACTCAAAACCCAGACCAGACAACACATCGGTAAGCTCTCTGGAGGCTGTCTGAACAGAAGTTTTACAGGCAGCCGATTTTTTTTAAGACACAACATAAACATCAAAGATTTTCAAACAGAAAAGAAAAAGAGAGCTCAACGCTACAAAATTTAAGAAGTCTCAAGTTAATGCAAAGTTCAGCTCTGCTGATATGAGGGGCCAGATAATAAGAAGTGTGTAAAGGAAATTCTAGCAGTAAAAAAAAGAAAAGTTTTGAAGAGTGTGTTATGTTTGCTATGTGGCTGGTACCGTAATAAGGTTTGTCCTTTAATGGTGGAAATCTATTAATAGAACATCAGGTAGTTCAGTTTGGCCAATCTCATTAAATGGCAGAAAGATATTAATAAAACATCTGGGTTATATGTTTGGTCAATTTCGTCGACAGAAAATTGATCGGCGGAAGCTTGATTGAAAGGAAATTTGATCGAATTTCTTTTTCATTTCACACGATCAAATTTTCATCAAATTTCTTTTTGAACTACACTATATAGTAAAACAAAATAATGCATTCAAAAAGAAATTAGACTCAAAATTTTAACGCGTGAACTGGAAAAAAAAATGCCCCCAAACTTCCGTTCGATCAAATTTCCGTCTATAAATTTTCCGTCGACGAAATCTTCTTTCAATCAAATTTCCGGGTATGGGGTTGTTCCACATCACTGGTGAGGATATAGCTAATCATCATTATGCAATGTCTTACCAGTGGTGCTGGATAGGTTAAATGAAGAGTTCAGTCAAAAAATCTTTTGAAATCAACAGGGAAAAACTCTTCCTACATGGTCCTGATCATTTCATGGTACTACACACAAAAATCTTACGCAGAACGTTAGAATGAAATAATTCACAAAATTTAATATACAATCAATTATTTGAAAATTCAACAACAGCAACCATGACTTTATAAATTACAGCAACAAAAAAAAATAATTGCAAATCACTCATCTAGAAAGTACTTCAAGCATAATCTTGATTTTTTTTTCAGTTGGATTAACAAATTTAGAGTATTTGTAAATGAATTCTTTGTACTTACTCAAATATTTTATGCATAGTTGAATCGTACAGTGTTTACTATTGTGAACTTGGCTGGCAGCTTGAATTTGTGCAGGCCTTAACTAAAAAGGGTTACCGGATATTTGTTTGAAAGAACTTTGTTCTGCGGAAAATTGTTCCACCGGAAATATTTTTGAGTGGCAGTTCTTTCAAATGAAATAATGGGGATATAAGCAAAAAAAAAAAAAAAAGAAAATGCTATGATTTTTTTTTCTCCATTTCTAACTGGCACCTTCCCATAAAAACATTTTTAAAAATAAATAGATACATCTCTGTTTTACTAAATAAAATAATGGGGATATAAACAAAAAAAAAAAAAAAAGAAAATGCTATGATTTTTTTTTCTCCATTTCTAACTGGCACCTTCCCATAAAAACATTTTTAAAAATAAATAGATACATCTCTGTTTTACAAATTTTATTTCCAACAAATTTCCGTCCAACAAATTTTCAGATACGGACGACTACAGAGCCAGTTTGTTGGCACTCATAATTTTTTTAAAGAGACTAACTTGTTACATTTCATTAATTTTAAATCTTATGTTATATTATCCACAAAGCTTGGATAATCAAGACTGCAATAGAACAAGATTACATAAAAGTAAAAAACTGTAAAAGTCTGAATAAAGGAACTTAACAAAATGAAACACAACAAGATTGTCAGTTGATATAATTCAATCGTACTTGATTTTACCAAAGTAGATATTTTGAAATTCAATAGATGTAGCTTCTAAAAAAAAATCCAGGTAAAATGTGTACAATATCGATTGCAATGCATTTTTGATTTCATAAATCAATACAAATAGCACTGAGCCTTTCACATCCAGGACCCAGCGCAAAATAAATCTCCTTTTCAATATTTGTGATGTGTGTACAGTAAATATAACAGTTATCTGAATTACGATTGAATATCTTTATCCGTCTTTTATGATTGTCCAGTTCTATGTTACAGATGTCAAGATGTTGATGTCAATTTATAATTTAAAAAAGCTATTTTTTAGATGGCTACACAACTAAAAAAAATTAGTAAAAATGTATAAGCCTTCACGTAAAACATATGTAACTTATATTTCTTATTTCAAAATGAGTTACAAGGAATTCTTACATTTTTTTTAAAATTCACCTATGAGGGTTAGGAAAAGGGTGACAGGTTATGGAATATAATAGGCTTGAGGTGGCTCTGTGCAGCTGTAAATTATAACAGAAATTTGCCATTTTTAAAAGCATGTCAACATAAAATAATCATACAAATATATTATATAAAGCACAATCATTGAATTACTTTGGATGCAATTATAGCAAAAATGCCAATTCTCTTTGTCTTAAAGACCAAAATATTTGAGTTCAGGCATACTTTTAAATCCCAGCTGACCGAACTTCAGACCACTCATAAAAGAAACTCTGTCACATGCAACACATTTACTTAAAACAAAATAATCAAACTTTTCCAAAGTGATATAACTGCTAGATGCATGGACAACTCGCCTATTCATTTTGGTAGTTAGACAATTGTTTTGTTTTGCTGTCACATTGCAACATAATATAGCACAAATTAAATTACTGTGTTCACTTCTAAAGTCCTCAAGATATTAATTTAATATGAATTAAAAACTGACACAGTGTTTAATTAAGAAGTAAGCTTTTTAAAAAAAAGACATTCTTATCCTCACTGAATCAAAGATCTACCAAGCTGCTTCCTGTGGCAGGTCCAGGTCACTGAATAACATATAGTTGTAAAGAAGTGTTGGCAGTGGCAGGCGAGATATTTTATTGCTGACAGACATACCGAAACCTAAATTTTTACGAATAGTCCTCCTGCACTGCCGGAGCAGGCTCTGAGGTTGGGAGGTGAGCTCACTGACCAGGTCAGCCACTGAGGGATCTTCAAGGTGGAATATAGTGTAGAACAGGTTCATTTTCCTTAAAACTATGGCACTCTCTTCTGCATAAGCCGCCACAAGCCACTGAATGAGCCGAGGGTTTTCTTTGTGAACACAGTGAGCTATGGGCGAGCATGGGCTGCATGGTGCCAGCACTGACTTAGTTTCCTGCGCAAACTCACTATTGCACAACAGTAACAATCTGACCACTTCAAAATTACAATTGTCCACGGCGTGCCACAGTGGCAGAGAGTGACTGCGGTCAACTGCGTTGGGATTAGCTCCGTGAGCTAACATTTTCCCAATGATAAAACTGTCAACGTCCCGGCACACTGCCTCATTAAGAGCAGTTACAGTGTCCCCGGGTAATTTTTCCATAGAGCAGCCACGGTTGATGAAGTACAGAACAGTAGTCGTACGGAAGTAACGTATGGCGCTGATGAGGGGGGTGATGCCATCACAGTTCCGGATGTCTTTGCTTATGCCACACCTGATCAAGAGATCGCAACATTCAACACTTCCTCCCTCTGCAGACAGATGAAGGATGGACATGTCCTGGCTTGACCAGTGTGTTAAGTCTGCTCCCTTTTCTATCAACAGCTGCAGGGTCTGCAAGGCGAAAAATCATAAAATCAAACCTATATCAATAAGTTATCTATAACAAAATAAGTAATAATATTTAGATGTTAAATATAACATAAAAAAATCATTATATTTAAAAAATAAGGGGCTACATTGTATAATAGGTCATTAGTGATTTCAACTGTGAGGCAGGCATGCTCCCATTGCCAAACAACTTTGCCAGGTTATCCCCCACTATGGGATATGGGCCAGTTTGAATCAAGTCTTCAGCCAGGAAAAATAGCTGTCGTTTATGGAGGTGATACCTTGGGAAAAAAGACAACAACATGCTCAACCATTAGAATCAGAAGACAGCAGCCACACTGACATGGAATTAAAATCAGTCATCTTTGCCATCCTGGTACACACATACACATAAAATTAGATAGGTGTCAAGTGCACAAAACAAAAGTAATTCTGGTATCATACTTCAAGATTTCCTTTTAAGGCTGCCAACATGGCAGCCGAGCACTTGTCTCCATCCAGACTCTCCAGACTGGCTCCAGAATCAATCAGACATCTACAGCACTCGGTGTAGCCCCTCTCTGCTGCGTAGTGCAGGGCAGTTCTGCGATTGTAGGCCACCATGTTCACATTGCATTTGGCATCCAGCATCAGCTGCAAAACTTTTCTACGGCCCTCGAGGGCAGCCATCATGAGGGGGGTGAAGCGACGGATATCTTGGGCATCGATTTCAGCCCCATGATGTAGCAGCACCTGAAACAGAAATCGAAATAAATAAACTTGATGCGTAAACTTTTAAAAGTTGGATACTATTTAAATTGATGCAATATTTTAGTTATCCGTAGAAAAATCTCAGTTGTAAAGGAAAACAGTGAACTTTCCAGAAAGCTCTCGTATCTCAAAGCTTTAGTATTTAGTTTGTGAATGTTAATTTTTGTGAAGCTTGATGAAAATCTTGAGCACCCAAGTGGCAGATTCTATAAAAAAGAAGGGTAATGATAAAACAGTTACCAGTCACAGTAACAAAGGCCAAACTTAAACTTATCTGATCAAGGATTGCAGGCTGGCTCCAAACTCAGGGCCTCAACTCAAATTACACAAAGGACAACTAAAAGACTTTTCAAACATAAAATAAACCATAAAACAAGCTGAACATAGGTCTAGTGACGCATCTTGGAACAATTGATGGCTAAAGAAAAAAATCACTGCAACATAAATTTTACGAAAGGAAGGTGTTGGGTTACACATTCTCAAATGATTTTTAAAAAAACCCCATCATTTAAGGTTATTTATCAACACCAATAAAATTTATTAAAATAATAGCAAGTTTAGACATGCACCTTACAACAGGCAGTCCAACCCTCCTTTGCTGCGTAATGAAGGGCAGTTGTTCCACTGTGGCTTACTCTATTCACATCAGCTCCCTGAGCCAAGTACAACAAGACCAAGTTGATGTGGCCTTTCTCAGCCGCACAGATCAGAGGCGTGTTTCCAAATGTGTCTTCATCCTCTAGCCCAGCTGTAACAGGAAAATCATATTTTTAAAAATCATTGAGGAATGTAAAAGATTAGTCCTCATTTCTTTAAAGCTAAGAGATTTATTTTGTTGAGTTATAATCATCATTTCTCTCTCCCACCCCAAAATATTATTATTTTTTTAAATTCAAAAATAGGTAAATAATTACAATGATGAAAATGACTTGCCATCAAATGCGCATGTTTTTTTTTTAATTTAAAAATATTTGAACATAAAATATCAATGATCCATTTTGTTATTATACAAGGAACACTAAAAGTCAAGAGTTCTCACCCTTGGCAGTTATGAGAAATGAGCACACTTCATAATGGCCATGTTCAGTTGCCTCATGCAGTGCGGAACATTCGCGATATCCTCGACGGTTAATGGAAGCATGGTGCTCCAGGAGTAATTTTACAATAGGCAAATGACCATGAACTGAGGCTACAATCAATGGAGTGTCTTCCTTCTCATTCCTGATGTTTACATTGGCTCCTGCATCTAACAGTGCTCTACAAATTTCCAAGTAGCCTGGGAAAGTAACAACAGACACAATAACAACAGCATGTGTACCCAAGCTAATTCATATTATTCACAACAGATACAAACAAAATAATTTGGCAGACAAGCCAAAAACATAGCAAAAAATTTTAAAAGTTTTCTTTCACATACCTCTCTGTGATGCAAGATGCAAGGCTGAATTTCCATCCACTCCCCCTAATGTATCAATCTGACATTCCCATGTTATCAAAAGTTTAGTAATCTCTATACTACCAGCTATAACTGCATGCATCAATGGTGTCATATGATTGATATCCACACAATCTGCAATTAGAGAAAATTGTGCAGCTAAGAAGTAATATACATCCAACTTATATTATTTTATTTCTGGTACAGTAATAAAAAATTAAATCTCTTTAAAAATTTGCTATAATTTAATATCGTATATTTTACAAATAAAAATATATTTAGAAAATATGTGGATGACAGCATCAGCTGATGTACAAGTAGAAAGAAATAGTGGCTTCTTTTAAAAACTAAATAAAAAACAATAGCATCATTAATGTAGTCAGTGAGGGAGAGGGGTTTAAAGCCTTCTTCACATCAAATTATGCCTTATCAGGAGAAAATATGAGAAGTGAAGGAGAGTTCAAGTTCTTGTTCCCTTTCATGCAAATTATTTCAAAACACTGTTACACAACTGGGCTGAATATATTTAAATCATTTTTTCTTCAAAATTAACCTTTATCAACTCCCATAGTGAGTAAAATAGCTGCGCAGTTTTCAGCAAAGCAATCACATGATTTACACAAAAGATCCTCCAGATCATTAGGACTTGGTTTCTCGATAACTAGAGATTTTAGTGAGGTGTAATCATCAATCATTATAGCATCCTCCATTTTGAAGACAACTGTTAGGACCAAAGAATTGTAAAATTTACAAATTTAACTTTAAACAACATTTTGAATAAACTAATAGTCATAGATGATAGTTAACTAGTTAAAAATTGATTTAAGCTTCATATGATAATCATAAGTCTAAGTAAAGTATAGGTGATTTCAGACTGAGGCACAAACCAAAGGTTAGTCAAATGTAGTAATGTCATTACTACATTTGACATTAGCCTTTGGTTTGACAATATTAGTATTAATATTAATAGTAATAATACTGAACACAACCAGTAACAAAAATAAAAAATGCAGGCATAATAATAATTAATAATAGGTATGTTTATAATCTCAAGATTCAAGTAATAAATGATAAATTAAAGACCATTGGGGAGCCCATAGGCTGTCTTGAGTGAATATGCCTAATCAGAAATCACTGCCTATGCCTATAATAATAATAAATAATATAAATTATAACATGTTTTTTCTGTCAACAGTAACATGTCTACAGAAATGAAATATACTTGGATATACCGTAATTTAGGCAATTAGGGCTCGATGGCTAGTAAGAGTGTTTATTGCCTGTTACTTGTAGTAGTAGAATAAGACGAGACTGAAAAATATTCTTCATAAACAGAGTTGAGGAGAAGACTGAAACTGAAGACCCAACAATCACAAAGTAGTCTTTTTCTTTATAAAACAATAACTTAACAATCATACACAAAATATTACATTGAAAAGTATTGGCATGGGCAACACTATTAATGTTTTGTTTATTTATATCAACATTTCCTCCCGTTTCGACCTCTGCTATCTCGGTTAAACGAGAAATTAAGACGGTCCCGTGTCGTGTTTATCTGAAACATCAACATTTAAGACATTTTGCGAAGTTGGAAACAAATCAACTTCCGTTTGGTGATTTAATTATATAATGGCACTGGTTCCTTATGTGTCCAACATACAAATAAGTACTAAATATTACTGTCACGTTTGAATAACTTTAAGATTTACTTTTTAATCAAATTTTAAAAATCTATATTTAATTTTAAAAATGTTTCAATACATTTAAATTAGAAGATATCTTTACTATTGAAAAACAGGATTTTAAAAACATGTATCATTTCGTTTGTTTTGCATAAATAAGTTTGAATTTGTTTTAAAACTAAGTTGAAACAATGGTAATGTTAGTTTTGTGATCTTACAGCTATTTTAAAATGAATACACGCGTTGGTTACCGTGGTAACACGAATAAAAGGATTGAAAATATGTATTAATTTGTTCAATAATTCGCTTATAATTCTGGTATTGTACATCTATCCTTTGGTGAGTGGTGGCCCATGAATCTGTGTGTCTGCAAGTATGTGTGTATCCATGTGCGTGTGTATATTTGTAAGTGTTTTTTTTTTTTTAAAGTTCAAATTATATTTTAATTATTTATTTTTTATCAAATATATTGGGTGATCCATGGTCGGATAATGCATCCAGTTCATACTCTTTTCATATCATCTCACATGTGACATATGTACTGCATGAAAATTGTATTATAAAAGTGATAGGTACAAAAATAAATTTTGGTTTCTTTTCTGTATTAAACTTTATTTACAGAATCAGAAATAGACGTTTTAATAATTGTGAGAGGGAAATTTTTGGGGAATTCGTACCTAGTGTTTTTTTTTTCTTTCTTTCTTTTTTTTTAAATATAAGCTACTGAATTAGTGAAAATGCCTATATGGATATATTCGATGATTGAATATCAATACATCTCTTAGAATTTTCAAAGAATAAATCACTTTATTTATATTTACACTTTTTGTAAATAAAACAATATATGTCTAGCTTTAATTATGATTAAACAATAGACAAATTCAAACGCCTTAATCAGTAATTGTAATATAATTATAAATATAAATTAAATTTACTTGTGCCCATTCTTTTCTTTTCTTTCATTTTTGGTATAGGCATAGGTAGTATTATTTATGTATCTTATTCACATGTTTTAAAATTATTATATTAATTTCAAAATCTTTGTCGCAGTTCAATTCAAAACTTTTCTTTTATAACTAGTTAATCATATTTACAAACATTTTGTGTCTGTAATCCCTCAAATGAAAATTATTTTCCCAATAGTTTCGGTAATAGCTTACTACCTTTCAAAATGGCTGACATGACTACGTCGTACACAACTCCGAATAGAGGAGATACTTTTTCACTTGATTTAAATTATGTCCAGTCGTCAGGCTCTGTTACAAATCCCCATGAATCACATGCATCTTTAGAAAGTCCCCAAAAATATATGCCAACACAAGATGAGTTTCAATTTGTGGCTGGTAGTTCCACTGCAGGTAATTTGTGTGTGCAGATCAGGTTGACATTTAATAATTTAATAATAATTATTAATTTGAGTAGTTTTTAGTTTTATTGTCAGTGGAATGATTTAGACTGCAATGAGTATTTGAATTATAACTGTTGTACCCGACTTTACAAAACGCAACTGATTCATTCTTAGGGTATTAATTAAAAATGACGTTCCTATAATGTTATTTAAATTAATGATTAATATATTTATTTAATGAAGAATTCCTAATGCCTAAAACTTACACTTAACTTGGATGGAATAGGAAAATTTTAACTGATATTAGGTTATTTGATAACTGGCCATGCACCAAGCCAAATGTGTATGTTTTAAAATGACAGTTTGTTATAAGTTATAGCACACTTTTGGCATGGGATTTTTGTTGACCTCTGTTAATTTCACTTTTCGTCTTAGTAGGTAAAAAAAAAAAAATAATAAAAATATTGTTTTTTTAAAAATGAATTTCAAAGAAAAAAATGAAACTAGAATCAACTTTTTAGTTTTAGTATTTTTTTAGTTCTGAATTTTGAAATTTACAATTTTTTAATCCACCACTTGAGCGTCGGCCAAGAAAAAAACCAGTGGTTCCGATTTGAAGGGCTATTTAAACAATTATTCTTATATTGATAAGATCCAAAATGATGGAAATGTTTTTTATGACTTGGTACATATTCATTCCGGCACGTATATAATACCGGTAAGAATAACACAAGGCAATTTTTCAATATGACAAAACTAAAATAATTTTTAAATAGAATAATTTAAACAATTTAATGGGTAAAAATGAAATTATGCATAGTTCATGAAAACCATTTCTTACTTGGTTTATATTGGCTAAAGCCGCCCACCTGATACAATCAGTGATCCTGGAAGTATAAATCTTTCTATGCACTCTTGTAATGTTGTTGCATTTCAGTCTGGCACTTCAATAAGAAAATAGCACCCATTCTCTCTTTCCACGCAACCGAAAACACAGTGGCCCTCTCTCAACTGTCCAAGGTGGTATTTCCTGTAGAAATATTTTGTTTCAATTTCAACTACAATGGATTCTCCTTGATTGTCGAAACCCCCAATTTCTTGATCGTCGAAATCCCCAATTTCAGATGCATTCGCAGCCAGCCAGATTTCACACTCCTCCAACATAAAATTTCACCAGTCCAACACAGTAGTGACATTTGCAACATCACCCTCGCTTACCATCTGCAACTGTGGCATATCAACACCAGCAGTAAACTAAAGTAGTAATTTGCAAGATGCTGAGGTGACTTCAAGCAAAGAAAGAGCCTTCTTGTATTGTCTTTCTGTAACTGCATGCAGCATAGGCCCACCTGAGACCATCCTGTCCTTGAGCATATCTGTTTAACCTACACATCCCATTGCAGACACTACATGTCATACGTTTTTTAAAGGGCGTTGACGCACACACCATCTTAGTGCTGAATTATGGTCTGACAAATTCGGCAGTAGTGTGGACAGCCACCATACTTCTTCGTTTCGTATCTGATCAGTATTAAATACTTTGTGCATCAGCATTATTTGTAGTCTTTCCTCTTTTTCTTCCTGCCTTACGGTAGCTTAGTAATAATTAATTAAATGTATTCTGCTAAATAACTTTATACGAAAGCGGAACTTTTAACAGACACCAATATAAGAATAATTGTTTAAAATGCCCTTCAAACCGGAACAACTGGATTTTTTCTTGGCAGATGCTCAAGTGGTAGATTACCTCCAATTCATTTTTTTTTACTCTGGACTACACGTCCACATTTTATGAGCCCATTCCGCTGATTGCGTTGTGTGCAATAAATCTTGATTTTATGATACTTTATACACCTTTTATTTTCAGAATGTTTATTAAAAAGTAATTAATTTTAATAATGTTATGCAGACCTGCCAACCCTTCCAATTTTGTCTGAATTATACAGATTTTTTACCCCTAATTCTGACCTTCCGACAATCCCCTTAAAATTCAGATTTTCCAAACATTAAAATTTTTCACCTGTCTTAAAAATCCGAAAGTGACATTTAAAAAAACGGGTATGTCAGGAAGTAGAGCATTTCGATGATGCCACTTCATTTGTTTGTTTTTTTGTTTTGTTTTTTACGAAGTGTCTACCTGTTCGGCAACCGAACGAATAAGTTCTCGAGATATTCATCCAGCTATTCCATCAAGTCACATGACCGTCGTAACAAAGTTGCACGAGATATTTGTCCGTCAATCTTGTGACGTGGCCACTAAAAGTCTATCAGAGTTTACGATATTTCATTCCAACAAATTCAAGTTAGTCTGGACATTTACATGGAAAATAAATATGTTCAATTCTACAAAAGAAATGCTAGAACCATTGCTGATATATATATAATGAACAAATGGTTAAAAAGTGACAATGTTAAATAAAGCGCGACATGCTCGCCGGATGAATATCTCCCGCACTATTTGTCCAGTTATCAGATGTGTAGACACAGCCTTGTTTTTATCGAAGCGAAAGCAATCTATAAATCATTCTTCAATCACCAATTGATCCGATCGTGATTCATCCTTTTGCTAGGCTAAAAAATAATTCTGTTGTGACTTTTTTTTGTTAAAGCTTTTCTTCATTAAATGGATAAATCTATTGAAAATTGTGGGTTTAATATTGAGAAACATATTTTAATGAACAAAAAGCAGTGAATCTACGACATCCATGTCTAATTTGTTTGCTAAAGAGTCATATGATTCAATTATCAGATCGGAAGTTTTATTTACTAACTTTCTTATTGAAGTAAATATTTCTCTAGCCAACTCCGATCGTTCTAATGTCAGAGTCAAAGATATGTTTCCAGACTCACAGATTACTAGAAGATTGTGAAGGAAAATTACAATGAAACAAGGGCTGTCATGAAAGCTGATACTCTTTCTAACTTGCTTGTAAATAAAATCATTTGCAATGCTAACCTTCAGTTGTCTAAAGAGCTGTTGGACAAGTGCTAAAGGGCCTCTAGGGATATGCTGGAAAACTGAACTCTTAGCGGCCTATACACATACAAATGTAAATAAAATGGATATTCTGTTCTGTATCTATCTGTATATAAACATTTCCAGTAATGTTTTTCTCATGTTCTATGGTGTTCTGTGGACTCTTCAAAGGCAATGGAGGTAACTTTATATTTATTTATTTCCTAAAAAAAGGCTTGTGCATTACTATGTAGATCTTAAATCAATGCCCGCCCCCCTTCCCCCGTGCACCCCTCTACAGGTTTTTTTCCTTCGCAGGTTGGCAGGTCTGTGTTATGCAATTATAAATAAATTGAAACTTATCTAACTATGCATATGTAAATCAATATCAGTAAATTTAATAAAAGATATTAATTAATGGCTTTTCTGTTTACCAAGTCTACGGCGTCCATTTTATCAGTATATATTATATACTATATAGTCTATATAAGGAAACGCATCCCCTTATTGCTAAAATACTGTTTAGGGGCTACCTATTTTGACTTTCAACGTTGCCACATTAAAGCTGTCCCTGACCAATGGTTTAATAGTTTTTCACATAGCAAACTCTTATGAATAAAAATCTGAGATAGTACTAAGGTATAGCCATTATGCAAGTGGCTGTGAATGGTTTTCCCAATACAACATTTTGCACATGGCAAATTATGGTCATTTATAATATGATCTCTACCGGGTTTATAAACCTATAATTAAGAAACTCTTGTTTCAATACTTTCAAAGTTCACTTTGAAACATAATTTATGCAAATATTTTAATGTAAATAGAGGTAATAATTGAATATTTGTCAAGTATCTGCATCTTCTGCCATTAAAAAGGGGGCATGGTCACTTTCAAGTGAAGTTGGGTAGAGCGACCTACATAGTATACTACTCAAAATTGGAATCATTGCATCTCTTGTATTACACAAAGCTCTTTGAAAATTGACACACTTGTAGATCAATATATGCACAATAAATCTGAAAATGGCATATATTTAATTTCAACTTAATCTTAATGGTGGAAATTGCCTTTATTTCCCCACAGATTTTCTTAAAGTTGATTGATTGTAAATGAAAAAAAAAAGGTTTGGAGGAAAAACTATAACTTCATTTTTTCTTTAAGGATTAGCAAATGAAATGTGCAGTTTTATTGCATTATACATAATAGTTTCATTGCTTTATGTTTGTGATAATTTAAATCAATGAAATCTTGTATTTTCAATGAACAAAAATTTGTTTTTGGTGCAATATTGGGCAAAATTGCCCAAAATAGCTAAAATCCAGAAATTATCACCAATCCAGAAGGTATTCAAGATAGAAACTATGAACTGATATTTTAATATATTCTTATTTAATTAGTTTACTGGAACAAAAATTATTGCTACAGAAAAATTCTTTATTTTATTAAGCATAGTCACTCGAAGCTACATTTGCAAATTGTATATAATACGTTGTATTATATACAATTTAAATAGGCTTCTATACTCTATTGTCTGACTATTTTATCTGCAAGTCTGTGCAAATAAAATATCTGTCAAAAGTTATTAAAAAAGGCTTGTATTAATTATTTTAAAAAACTTTCTTTAGTTATTGTGTTTTTAAAAGTTATTTGACATACTTTATGTTTGTAATTTGGTTTGTAATGATAAGTTATAAAGAAAAAAGTGTGATCTTCTCCAGTATAGACTATAATAGGATTTATCATTAACATTTATCTCTATAGGGCAAGTAAAATTAGAAGGTTCTATGGACCCCAACTTACCACCTGCAGGAGGTGATGCATATGGCGTTAGGAAACGTGGTGTCACTTCATCAGTTTTAGAGTCTAGAGGTTTTGGGTGGCTACTTGAAGAGGAAGATCCAGAAGAAGAAGATCAAAGACCATTGTTGTATGTATATGCTACATAAAACATATTATTTATACCAACCCTATTGTTGTATGTTTCTGCTACATAAAACATTGTTGTAGGTATCTGCTACATAAAACATATTGTAGTTTGTATCTGCTATATAAAACATATTTTGGTATTTTTCATCATACTTTTATCATGTTTTTTTTTCCACATTTACTGCATTTAAAATATATTGTTGAAGTATTAGATTTTGACAATATATTTATGAGCATTCCTGGATCACAAATGAATATTGAGTATTAAAAAGGGCAAAAATATTTTAATTTCAGAGAGGAACTGGATATTGACCTAAAAGATATTTACTACAAACTGAGATGTGTACTGTTCCCACTGCCTCAGTTGGGCTTCAACCGTCACATTGTACGAGAAAGTCCAGACTTTTGGGGGCCTCTTATTGTGATACTCCTTTATGCTATTATTTCATTATATGGGCAGTTTAGGGTAAGTAAGTGTAAGTAAGTGTGTTGTAAAATATTTCTCAGGTGCATCAAGTTTGCTGGGGCTTTATTTTTTATAAAAGAGCTTTTTGGTCAATTTCAGCAAAATGGATTTTAGTTAAAATTTACTGATGGATCAAGATAAAGTACAAGACAAGTTGATACCTTCAGATACTACCAAATAAACCGAGTAGGATATTCTGGCATCAATGTGCTGATGGTGTAGGCTTCGCAGGATGAAATCACAAGGCCTGGGATTTTTCTTTAGGAGGAGAAGCTGGTTCCCTAGACAGCCAATCGCATCCCTCCATGCACCTGGATAACCCAACGGAACATCATGTGGATGATACAGCTTGGCTCCCTTAGTGTCACAGGGATTGCCGGAATGTTTCATTGTGTCAGTATTATCCGCCTTCGGGACTCCATCTCCGGGTCTGAATTCAGAGTTTTCCTTCTCTTAGATGAGTTGCCGTCCAAGGCTAACGAGTGCCATCCACCCGGGGTGCTTGGGATGTTTTCGCTTGTGTAGGCTTTGGTGGGGATTGAACTCCAGACCACCAGCTTTTGTGCATTGTATGATAGTGTGATAGATTTATAGCTAAAAGACTAGACCTAAGAATGGTTAAAGTTACCATCAAGATGTCATTGGTATAATACTACTCTGTGCAGGTAAAAATTTCAATGTTTGAAAAATTATTACTTAAACACCGGTTTTATCAATGGTTATAAAAAAAGTTAATTTAAACACAGCATATTTTTTTTATGGCAGGTTGTGTCATGGATTCTCACAATATGGCTTGTTGGATCTTTAATGGTTTTTCTATTGGCCCGTGTTTTGGGAGGCGAGGTAAGGAAATGAAATACATAAATTTCTGGTCAGAGAAATAACTAGGTTGTACATCTGAGTCTGTGTGAATGGGCTGCGCTTCGACACCATACAACAGCAACCATGGTTGACCATCAAGCTCCACAGATTTTCTTGGGTTTTAAAAAAAGCAGATTTCAACTTAAATATTAATTACTAGACTCAACCATTTTTTTTTTTAAAAATAGTAGTTTTGTCCATGTAATGATGTGTGCCTCAAGAGTTGTGAAGATGAAAAAGTTTTTTTTTAAAGCAATTTCTGTGCCAGCTCTAATTTTATTTAAGTAAATATTATATGTATAGATTGAACATGCTCTCATGTTAATAAGATTTAGTTACTTTTAAAACAGGGGCAGTTTAGTATAAATAGTGCTACTGGTATTATAAAACATAATTCCAGAAGGAATAAGAAATTACATTCAAGCTAACCCCTCCCCCCCCCCCTCCATCTACATTATGCCCAATATCTAATAAGATTTAGTTACTTTTAAAACAGGGGCAGTTTAGTATAAATAGTGCTACTGGTATTATAAAACATAATTCCAGAAGGAATAAGAAATTACATTCAAGCCAACCCCCCCCCCCCCCCCTCCATCTCCATTATGCCCAATATCTACCACTGCTGCATCAGTTGTTTCTTTAAAAGATTCAGCTACCATTTTATTCATTGGCCCCTATTTTATTTTATCGACTTTTTTCACAGATGTACAAATATTAGATGGAAAGACAACTTTCTATACCCTTTAAAATATTTTATACTACTTAAAACGTTTTAAAAGTAAAGTTGGTTATTGCTTGTTACACTGCTGGCTTTCGGTAGCTGGCCTGCATAATCATCATATTGTAAAAAAATTTAAGAAGACAGATATAAAGTAATCACCAAATAGTGCACCGATCCCTACTGAAGTTTTGATTAATAAATTCTTCCTCCTTTTACTCTAAATAGATTGAGAAGCACTGGTTTAATCTGTTTGATAATATATTTGTAAAGAATGTTCATTGTTAATAGATTTGTAAAGAATGTTCATTGTTAATACATTTGTAAAGAATGTTCATTGTTAATACATTTGTAAAGAATGTTCATTGTTAATACATTTGTAAAGAATGTTCATTGTTAATACATTTGTAAAGAATGTTCATTGTTAATACATTTGTAAAGAATGTTCATTGTTAATACATTTGTAAAGAATGTTCAGCTAACTCTTTGAGTGTTTCCTGTTATGTAGGTCTCCTATTCACAATGCCTTGGGGTCATTGGCTACTCAGTGCTGCCTTTGTTTGTAATTGCCTGCATTTTGCCACTGGTTCATTCATATCATTATTTGAATATGGCTTTTAAGGTAAGTACAAAAAAAAACAACTTTATTTTATTCTGCATTATAAATATTTTATAAAGCGGTTTTGTAATTTTTTTTACTCCTTTTTTAAAAAGACTTTCTCTCTACTCGCATTTCCATCTTGTGGTGGAGTAATCTTTTGCGTGTCCCAGTCGTTCTCATGCAGTGTTCACCTGTTGAACGGCTGGAGAAGAGTCAGTAGTGAAGGTCAGATAAGAGCACTGGTATTTTGGGGAAGGGTACTTTGGAAGGGGTTGATATTTTTATTTTTATCCTTGGGTAAAGAGCTAAGACACTATAGCCAGGTATTTTTAAGCATTCAATGTTTTTATTAAAAAATTCTTCTTTTGCCGATTATAGGCAGGTTAAAATTTTTATACTCTAGTGTAGTTTTCTTCGCAGATTGCATTTTAAGAAATTTTAAACAATTTTCTACTTTTTAGTGATACTTGTCTTTGATAGCAAGTCTTTGTGAAAAATGTTATTCTTACTGAATTCTTTGTTATAGAATCCAAATTACATTATTTCTTTTATCAAATTATTTCTAGTATTAAATTAGCAAGTATATTAAAAAATACCAGGCCTTGTTTTCACTTAATAAGGCTTGGTTTGTGAAGTCTAGAAATCATGATTGATAATTAATTTGAGCATATTTCTTTGTGAATATGGTTTCTTATTTATTTTTGTAACTGTATTGTTTTCACACTTTGAGGTTACCCCTTTCGGTATTTCGGCACCCATTAAGAAATTGCCTTCAATACCAAGCAAAGGGAAATAACTTCCATTTGACCAAAAGTTACTGACTTAAACAAATTATTAAAAATAACTCTTTCATCCAGTCATAAAAAATTACTGATAATTATAGAGAAAAGATTAATTTATTTAAATCAAGTCTCCATTAAGACCGGTTAAACCTAAAATTCTTCACTCTCAATTGAACGCAATTAATTAGACCGGTCAGATCTATAAATAACATCGTCTGAACCATCTGGGATATCAAATGTTGAACTAATCTAATACCAACATCGCCATTATAATGATCTATTTCTGCACCTATTTTCGCATTAAATTCATCACCGTTGACACTAACAGCCTACTTGCAGTTTAAAGCCACCTAGCAGGGCAAACGCCATTAAGGTTAGATCTACTGGCAGCAAAGCACTTTTTTTTCTTAAATTGAAAGTAGCAATAACAAAAATCAAGCGCACATCCACCAAACCAACAAGACAAGAGGTTATATGCATTTTGTAACTCCTTAAAACTAGGCAAAGATGAAAATGACTTGTTTGAACAGGATTAAACCATAACGCGACTGAAGCGTAAGGGCCGGAAAGCCGCAATATGACTGAAAGGATTAAACTAAAAAATTAATTTAAAAAAATTAAATAAAATTCATCGAGATAAAACATTGAAATATTTTTATAATAATTTTTTTTTCTCTCCAGTTTTTGGGTGTGGTGTGGGCATCCTTCAGTGCGGGCTCACTGTTGTGTGTTCAAGAACTTCAGCACAAGAAGCCTTTACTCTTGTACCCAATATTTTTACTGTACGTTTATTTTTTGTCTTTGTACACAGGAGTTTAAATTTTACCAAAGGCGGAAAAATTGCTTATGAGATTTTAAGTATGCGACTTACATCATGATAATGTTATGTTATCACCACAATGAAATTTGGTATTGAGTATTAGGGGTAAGTTGCTATTTGGCATGTGAATGATTTTTGGTTGGTTCATAAAAATGTCCATTGAGATGAGGATAGAACACTTTTAAATGCTTGTTTTATTTCCAGTTACAAAATAAACATTGCCTTTTTATCTGGATTTGCATAATCTCAAGTCCAGTTTGACCTAATTATGACTGTATTGGATTATAAAATTACCATTGAGCCAAATACCAATCCCTCATGAAATGTGCTTTTCAACTGATGCAAATATTTAGTGAGTAACGAGAATACAGGCACTGACTAAGCCTACACCTTACTAAATAATGTACAATCATTATACGTTGTTACTGTAAATATATGGTCTACTGTAAATATTGGGTCTAGTTTAGAGGGTTACACTGATTATATTTTGGGGGTTGCACATTTTAAAGAATGCCACAGAGACAAAGTTACAATCAGTTTGTTTTTAACTTAGTGGCCATTATCCTCAGATGATCATTCAGCAAAGGGTCCCATCAATGGATCAGGACTCTTGCACAGTTTGTTTTCAGTCACAATTTTTCCTCTGACACAATTTTTTTAGTCACAATTTATTTCCAGTCACCAATGTGTCCCCTCTGTGTCTCATAACAGGTCACTTCATTAACAAGTTGAGTAGATTTATTGGAGGTATTCATCTTTCTATATTGGCAATGCTATGTATATATATGCTGTGATTATTATCAATCATCATTGTCTATTTATTTAAATCACCATGTCTTTGGAAACAAACAGCATTCTTTTTTTTTTCTTTTTTTTTTGTTAACTTATTTTAAAAATAAAATTAAAATTTTTTTAAATTCTTAAGGCATTTTTTATGTTTATTTATGCTGTGATTATTATCAATCATCATTGTCTATTTATTTTAATCACCATGTCTTTGGAAACAAATAGCATTCTTTTTTTTTTCTTTTTTTTTTGTTAACTTATTTTAAAAATAAAATTAAAATTTTTGTAAATTCTTAAGGCATTTTCAATATTTCCCAGTGGGCTTGATTTAAATTATTATGAGTATTATTTTGTATAAATAAATGAAAATTAATAAAGCATTTTTGTAATTTTGTACAACACATTTTACTTTTTAACTGGTAGTATCATAAAGTAAAATTACAAATCAATAAGTGCATTAGTAAACACTCTAATTTTCCAATTTTTTTTAAAGTCAGGTGCCCTTTCTTCATTAGAGACGCTACAAATGCATTGCTGATCTGTAATTTTAAAGTTAATATAAATAATATAAAGATTGAATGTACAAAATTGTCGAAAGATTATTTTCTGCACCTCACATGCTGCCCCTTAACACCAAGCCTTTACATAGTCGTATCATATAATTATTGAGTATGCTTTAAAAGGAATGTTAACACTGCCTACACTATAAAAAAACAAATATCTCTCCCATCTTGGTATCAACAACAGCTGTGCTCAAACAGGTTGTACTCAATTCTTGAATGGAACAGGTGGCCAAGTGTCCTATATTCAAAGTGTAATCGGGTGTTAAAGATATGAAAATGTGTTCAACAAATACAAATAACTGATGTTTCAGGATGGTCAGGTAGTATCAAGTTCTCAGTAGTGTTCGGGTTTGATTTAAGTTTTGTAACAGTGATTCCCAAATATTCTACGATGTCCATCTGGTTTAAACCCCCTCCCCTAGCCTGTCATGAGCCACTCTAAAAAGGCAGTAATCACAATGAGACATTGAGCCTTTTAGAGCCGTTACAAAATGATCAGCTGAGAGAAATGTGCTTTCACTAAGTATCAAAGGGCCGGTGAGCAGATAATGACATTGGTAAAAGACTTGGTTGTATTCCATTTTAAGATCACTTTAGAAAAAAAAATTGGGCTTGATGGAAGTCTGATACAAGAAACTGCAAGATAAGTGTTATTGTTAGTAATATTTAAATATAGTGTAAAACTGTAATAATCTATAAACTTAAATACTGACTCATAAAAATTAATAAGTGAAAGCTTTTCTTTTGTTGTTTTTTTTAAATCTGCTTTCTTTTTTTAGTTGGGTTGTAGGAGCATCTTGTTTTCTTGAAAATAAAGAATGTTTGTTTTTTTGTTTTTTAACTTAAATTTTTATGACTTTATGAACATGCAACTCTCTAATTAAATTGTTTTTTTATTACTAGGACAAACTTCTTGTGAGGTTTTTTACACTATTTACAGTAATAATGTGCAATCTTTATGCTACTTTTTACTTTTCTGAATGAGTGCCCACTGAATGAGTGCCAACTGAATGATTGGCTACTGAATGAGTTCCAGTAAATGAGTGCTCACTGAATGAGTGCCCACTGAATAAGTACCAAGCTTTGATTAATTTCTCAGGTTTGTGGTGGTGGTGGGGAATGATATCTTATATTGATTGGGCTCTCACCAGTGACCATAGAAGACAACACAAGCATTACTTCAGTGTCCATAGAAAACAACACAAGATTTACTTCAGTGGCCATAGAAGATAACACAAGCATTACTTCAGTTGCCATAGCATTACTTCAGTGGACTTAGAAGAAACACAACCATTACTTCAGTGGCCATAGAAGACAACACAACCATTACTTCAGTGGACTAAGAAGACAACACAACCATTACTTCAGTGGACTAAGAAGACAACACAACCATTACTTCATTGGACTTGGAAGATAACACAAGCATTACTTCAGTGGCCATAGAAAACAACACAACCTTTACTTCAGTGGACTAAAATTCAACACAGCCATTACTTCAGTTGACTTAGAAGACAACACAACCATTACTTCTGTGGCCATAGAGGACAACACAACCATTACTTCAGTGGACTAAGAAGACAACACAACCATTACTTCATTGGAAGATAACACAAGCATTACTTCAGTGGCCATAGAAAACAACACAAGATTTACTTCAGTGGCCATAGAAGACAACACAACCATTACTTCAGTGGCCATGAAAGACAACACAAGCATTAATTCAGTGGCCATAGCATTACTTCAGTAGACTTAGAAGACAACACAACCATTACTTCAGTGGACTTAGAAGACAACACAACCATTACTTCATTGGCCATAGAAGACAACACAACCATTGCTTCAGTGGCCATAAAAGACAACACAACAATTACTTCAGTGGTCATAGAAGACAACACAACCATTACTTCAGTGGACATAGAAGACAACACAACCATTACTTCAGTGGACGTAGAAGACAACACAACCATTACTTCAGTGGCCATAGAAGACAACACAACCATTACTTCAGTGGCCATAGAAGACAACACAACCATTACTTCAGTGGACGTAGAAGACAACACAAGATTTACTTCAGAGGATGTAGAAGACAACACAACCATTACTTCAGTGGCCATAGAAGACAACACAACCATTACTTCAGTGGACGTAGAAGACAACACAACCATTACTTCAGTGGACGTAGAAGACAACACAACCATTACTTCAGTGGCCATAGAAGACAACACAACCATTACTTCAGTGGACATAGAAGACAACACAAGCATTACTTCAGTGGCCATAGAAAACAACACAAGATTTACTTCAGAGGACGTAGAAGACAACACAACCATTACTTCAGTGGCCATAGAAGACAACACAACCATTACTTCAGTGGCCATAGAAGACAACACAACCATTACTTCAGTGGACGTAGAAGACAACACAACCATTACTTCAGTGGACGTAGAAGACAACACAACCATTACTTCAGTGGCCATAGAAGACAACACAACCATTACTTCAGTGGCCATAGAAGACAACACAACCATTACTTCAGTGGACGTAGAAGACAACACAAGATTTACTTCAGAGGATGTAGAAGACAACACAACCATTACTTCAGTGGCCATAGAAGACAACACAACCATTACTTCAGTGGACGTAGAAGACAACACAACCATTACTTCAGTGGACGTAGAAGACAACACAACCATTACTTCAGTGG